CCTCAACACCCAACCCTTGAATTTAGTAACTCGGTTGATATACAATATGCAGTAAATAAGCAGAGAATTGATAGAGTATGAGGAAAAAAATTATGACTCGCATGATAACTGTACTGTGTACGTGTTTGTGTGTGTGCGCTTTGGAAGATAGTGGAGTAGAACATTCATACCACAGCTGAAGAAGAAAACAGAGGAGACCACAGCACAGCTGAAGAATAAAACAGAGGAGAAGTATAAGATGAAGAAGAAAACAAATGAGAAGTATAAGAAAAAAACAAGTGCGTAGGTATTTATAGAGCAGAACACAGAGTATAGGTGTGGTGTGTGAAATAACAAACTGGCGCTGCACTGCACACAGTGTACGTATTTGTATGTGTGTGTGAGAGAGAGTACCTTCGGCTTATTTTATATAAATTCCTATTTACAACTTCGTCCATAAGAGAAACAACATCTTTCGTATTACCCCATTTACCCCTAGCATCCAAATTGTGAAGAAATGATGGGAAAAGTTGCCACAAAATTCCCCACAGTGAAGAAATGATGGGAAAAGTGTAGCACCTTGTCACATGTGTCCAAGTGATGGATAACGAACCTTGTCACATGTGTTCATATTGTGAACCTTGTCACATGTGTCCAAGTGCAAGTGATGGAAAACGAACATTGTCACATTGTGAACCTTGTCACATGTGTTCACATTGTGAACCTTGTTACATGTGTCGTGCAAATGATGGAAAACAAACCTTGTCAAATTGTGAACCTGTCACATATCTCGTGCAAGTGATGGAAAACAAACCGTGCAAGTGATGAAAAACAAACCTTGTCACATTGTGAACCTTTCACATATCTTCAAGTGATGGAAAACGAACAAAGAATAAATTTAAGCTTTGTAGGAAAGTATTTGCTTTGTAGGAAAGTATCCGAAAAATTCCGATTTTTTTCCGAAAAATACACCTATAAATACTTATGTTGTTTTATGATATAGTAATTTGATTTAAGTTTTGCTTTAGGATTTTGACATATTGAATTGCTCTCAGAAGTTTTGTTGGAAATTATAATGTGATTTATTATTTTTATTAATTTTTTTGAACTGAAATTTAGTAGTTACTAGTTTTACTTTTATCGACGTGGATGTTCTTATTTTCGTAAAATTATGACATTTTCAGAAAATTGTTCGTTAAGTTTTGAAAACTAAAAACTTATTTGTTTTTAGAAATTCCAAAATTTCCGGGCCTTTTGAAACCCGAATGAATTTATTAAATTCCAGAAATTTTGGAATTTGAATTGAAACTCATTTTGTACTTTCGAATTTTTTTGAAATATTTTCCAATTTCGATCTGATCAATCCGACTTTGATCTCTACTCCCAACCCAAGAGAAACTAACCCAAGGGTAACTAGCAAAGGGTTGGGTCATAATTGGCTGGCCGTGACAACCTGGTCCCAGGTTCTTGCAGGATCGTCTGCTCTTGCAGCTGCTGGTATAGTTATCGTGAGGGCACATCCTGTATACCCAATTACTTTAGGCATCATTTCAAAAGTGTTCTTCAGCTCATCTGATACACTTGAGAGACTCAATTTGGTTATGCGTTCTGTTGGTGTTGCCTCGGCCATTTGTACAACTGCACTACCGTTTTGGACTTGCATCACAAATGTGCTGTCGGCTTGTGGATACCCAATTCCTCAACCTCCTTCGTCCTATGAACCAGTTCTGACTGGCCCAACGAACGTTTAGCAGGGAAAATATTTTGGAATTTGAGGTTGTATGTTTTCTTTTGTGTAATTTCAATTCTGCTGTTGGTTGAATCCTGACCTTGGTTTTGACTATGTTCGTGTTTCTCTATATCTTGCGTTGCTAAATAAAAAAAGAAAGAAAAAAGACATGGTATTAAAAAGAAATGGGAAAATATACTAGTTTGCTTCGTTTCCCTTTCCATTTCGGGTTTTGACTCTTCGGTTTCCGAAGTGTTTCGTAGAGTTTTTCGATACTGACCTTTTTTTGTGTGGTCATTCTTTGATATATTTGCAATTTTGGTGGTTGGTGATTATCCTATTAGTATTTCTGAATTTCTGTTTTAGTCGAAATTGAGCTTGAGTTTGTATTACGGATTTGATGATACAGCTGGATTTGATGATACAGCTCCCTTAAGTGTTTTCTCGTAAAGAAATTAAATAGGTGTTGTTTGATCACGCTAAGCTGTTTAGCTTCATCAACATGATCTAATTAATACATCTAATTGATTTCGATTTGGTTTGTACAATTGTCGATCTAAACTGTCTATATATTTGCACGAATGAGTTAAGAACTTGAATTTTGGTGTTACAATTTACATGATGGTGTAGTCCAAACTTTGACTGTTAGTTTATGTGCTCAAATTTTCGATGTATCTCTCGAGTAACTTTCTACTTGTCGCATTATTATTACGAAGAAAGGCTGCAAATTTCTTCGAGCCATTCTGATGTTTGCGTTTGTTTCAAAACATCCCATGCCAAACGTTTTGAACGAAAAAATCATGTTTACAGACATTTGTTTTAGAAAAAAAAAAAAAAAAAAATCACCATGGTTTCCTTATTGCAATTCCCTTGATTTGTCATTCCCATGTGTAGAGAAACCTCGCTGCGATTCTGATTTGAACATGTTTAAGTTAATTATTTTCATATTTGATTTCTTAAAATGTGTTGTTTTCATCATGTTTCTATTTTTTTTTCTTTTCTGAAACTGTGAGTTGGTATGGCTTTTATGTTACTTTGTGAATTGAAGAATTAAACAAAATCTATCTATATATAATATAAAAAAGAGGATCTATGCTCTATATGGTTGGCATGTGGCAAATGATGATGTCATTTGTCAAAATTGCTTAGTTGAAGTTCAATTGATTATGTGGATTCTTCAATTGATTAGGTGGCATTTTTATTTATGGATGTTTTTTAGTTCTTTCCTATTTTACATTTACACAATCATTTAATAATTACCACATGTATATATATTATTTCCAAAGTTAATATTTTATAAATTCGAAATAAAAAAAAATCTTATTTATATTTTCAGTATTTCAAAATATTTTTATTGAAAAAAATTCATGAAAACTCAATATTTTTACGAATATTCAAATAATTTTCATAAAAAATGTTTTTTTAAATACAAAAATATTAAAATAAAGGAATATGTTCTATTGTTTTTTTTTCCAATATTTTAGAATATTCGAATATCCATTCCATTAAAAATAATAATAAAAAAATGTTTTATTTTTTAATTGAACTATTTACTAAATATACACTATTTTTTGTATATAATTTTTATTATACCATATTTCAAATTAAAAATAATTATACTATTTAATAAAATGCAATATTTTGAAATTTGAAAATTTAACAATTTAAATACAGTATATTTTAAGAAGGAATCTATAATTTACTCCTATGCCACCGAAATATATTTATCATTTGAGATAAATATATTTCCATAATTTTGTAAAGCTTTCTAATTTAAATGCAGTATATTACCCCAATTTTTATATATTTAAAAATTTAAATAAAATATCAAATCACTAATACAAAGGAATCTTTAATATTCCCTTTTTTTTTATATCCTTAATCCTTAATCTTGTAATCAAGGCAAGTTAATTAATCAAGTTAAGCTTTTATGGGCCAAAACATATATAACATAGAGTTGAGCTTTTAATAATTTATTTCGGTCCATAACTATCTAACTTCGGCCTATTATAAATTGAGATTCAGTTCTTCAACGGTACTACACTAAATGCAAGAGGTGCACCATTACAGATGTTGCAAAAAAAATATTTCTGTAAATAAATAATCTCACGTGAAATATGAATTATTAATAAAAACGATTTTATATCATTTTATGTTGAATTGAATGACCTTTTTTTTTTTTTGCTGGGTATTATATTTTTACTCTTTAGAGGGTTTTGAAATATAATTAATATGATAATTATAAGTTATATATTCTATAGCTTTCACAAACTCATATAATTAATTGTGCGACTTTTTTTCTCTTATTAATTGCTTCCACGTCTGTTTCGTTTTTGTGGAACAATCTCTCTCGTAAGAATCTTATATCAAATATTCCCTTTTCTTTTGATCAATTCAAACCATTTTGGGTATTTAAAAATTAGGATAGTTGAAAACTTGTAAT